GAAAACCAGGAAACTGTGACTGTGGCATGTGCTGTAGTACCTTTGTTAGTACACTCTAATCCACTTATGTAACAAGACTTTGGTTAAACATGAGCAACCAAACATCATTCCATGAATCCTTGAAATTTTCCCTGAAAGTACAGGTTAATGTATCCACTTCCCTTTGTTTCTGAACAGGTTTAGGTTAGTCTGCAAGTGAACAACACAGGTGCACATATAGATATTGTACTATATAGAGATAACCTTTATGTAAGTTATTCAGTGAGACTGAATCATGGTACTGTGCTATTCTGCATGGCTTCTTTTGCAACTTTCATTTCCATGGTACCCAAGTGACTTCTAGTAGTACATTAAGCAATCTGCCTTCACTCGTCAGGAGACTTCACTTCATCTCTCCTCCTTTCCCTTGTACAGGGAATAGGAGCTTTCAGCTTTTCTTTTTAATCTTTCTGAGTGAAATATCTCAGTCACTAGACTTGACTGAATGAATGATGATGGAACAGTTTGTAACTTGCTGTCTGTAATAAAACCAATTAAACCAACTCTAAACTACACTTCCATTTCACACTAAATGCATCAGTTCTTATCTGAGAAGACAGATGTATTTTCAGATTATGTACTAAAAAAGGTTCACATAAGGGAGATAATAAGCAGGTAAATGTTGCAGGGTTATATATTTTTTACTTCAAAAGAATGAAAGGTTAACACGTGTACAGGTCAGATAAAACTCAGTGGTGGGTTGACCCTGACTGGATGTCAGGTGCCCATCAAAGATATTCTATCACTTCCCTCCTCAGTGGGAGATTGGAGGCAAAATATAAGGAAAGGCTTACATGTCAAGACAAGGACAGGGAAAAATCATTCACCAATTACCATTATAGGCAAAAGAAACTCACCTTGAGGAAAATTAATTTAATTTTTTACCAATCAAGTCAAAGTACGATAATGAGAAATAAAATTTAAATCTTAAAAACACCTTCCCTGCAGTGGCACTGGGGGACAGGTAATGGGAGTAGCGATCAGTTCATCACATGTTGTGCTGCTCCTTCCTCCTCAGGGAGAGGACTCATCACAGTCTTCCCTTGCTCCAGTGTGGGTACCTTCTGGGAGGTGCAGTGCGTCAGGAACAGGTTGATTCAGCATGAGTCCCCTTCATGGTCTCAAGTCCTGCCAGCAAAGATGCTTCAACGTGGGCTCCTCTCTCCCCAGGGCCACAGGTCCTGCCAGGACCCTGCTCCAGTGAGGGCTTCCCATGGGGTCAACAGCCCTCTTTGGACACCCACCTGCTCTGGCACATGGTCCTCCAGGGGCTGTGGATGGATCTCTGCTCCACTGTGTGCCTCCGTGGCCTTCAGGGGCAGCTGCCTCACCATGAGCTGTACCATGGGCTGCAGGGCAATCTCTGCTCCAGAGCCTGGAGCACCTCCTCCCCCTCCTTCTGCACTGACCTTGGTGTCTACAGGGCTGTTCCTCTCCCATATTCTCGCTCCTCTCTCTGCCTGCAGTTGTTCTTGTGCAGTAATTCTCCCCTCTTCTTAAATCTATTATCCCAGAGGAGCTACCATCATTGCTGATGGGCTCAGCATTGGCCAGTGGTGGGTCTGTCTTAGAGCTGGCTGGCATTGGCTCTATCATACATGGGAGAGGCTTCTGGAAGCTTCTCACAGAATCCATCCCTACAGCCTCCCTCCTCCCACTACCAAATAATACACAAACTATGGGAAATACCACCTTGAAGATCTGATAACTTTTTCCAGAACAGCAATTTCATTGTAATTCAATTTGCAGTTTAAATGTCTAATAAAACACTGCATAAATATCAATAATGACTAATTCATTAAAAACAGCATATGTTCCTCTTTGCAACAGAAATACCAAGGCATTAGCAAAGCCAGAGTAATATATAAATTTCATTTTGGTGTTGGAAAGACCTGCAAGAAAGATAATGAGTACTTAAAGTAATACTCTGATAAGAATCTCCTTTCTTGTCTCTCACGGAAGGAAAGGACCACTCCTTGCTTCTTCATCCAAGCATCTTGGCATCACAAGTAATTCTCTTTAACCTCACTAGCTTTCAGATAGTTACAGAATGGAGTCATCATCCCTAGACTATTACTCAAAAAAGGAAATAGATGCAAGTTCACTCCTCTGCCCTGGAACCATTCCAAAACAAATGTATCAAAAGGACTGTAAGTACAACAGGACACACCACCTTTAGCCAGGGTTCCCATCATCTTGTGACTCAGACATCAGAAGACCTGTGTTTATCTGGCCTCTAGTAGAAGTCTGTCCCACTTCCACAGTGCTGCATGTTTTTACCCTGTAAACAGACAGTGGAGACTAGAGAGTTGCTACAGTATGTTGAAAGAGAACTTTTAAAAATACAAATCAGGTTGAAAAGATTCAGAATTTCAGCTTAGCATCCTTTTCTCTTTCAAGGGTGCTGATCATTTTATGTTCCTATGACTTGGTCTGCCCAATGTTTCTGAAAAATCACACAGCTGTGTCATCACTGCAAGTTATGAGTGTGACTTCAGAGTTTGTGAAAGGTTTAGGACCTATGAGAAAGTAGGAGTACCTCTTGGAATACTAGAACTTATGAAGTTGAAATAAGAATGAAGACCAAGGAAGGTTTGGGATCTAGGACAGGCTGCAACTGAGAAAATGAGAAATGTCACCTGGAAGCTGAGAGAGATGCACAACTATCATGGGGAAGATGGGAAATAATACTAGGGGCAAACAAACAGTAAGCACAAGATTGAAGGAAGCAGCAAAATAAAATGGAGAAAGTGGCCATGAAGGCTCTGAAATTAAAGGTAGGATGGTATTAGCTTTAAGAACAAAGAAAATATTCCAGAGGGGAGCAAAAGAAGAACAGAGGGAAGGGGGGTAAAAAGGTGGCTGGAAGAAAAGATTTGAAATATCTATCAAATAGACTAGTTGAAATGAAAGGGAGAAATAAAAAAAACCTTCAAATATTTTGGGAATATAGAAAAAAACACTAAGTGGAGAAGCACTGTATCTTCATAACAGAGTAGAACAAGTGAAATTAAATGGTTATGCACAAGAGCAGTGGAACACATTAAAATTCCTCCCATCACAACATATTCTGTTACTGGCAAACAATTTTCTTACAATAAAAATGTGAGATATTATCAACAACATATTTCTCAAATGCAAAGACTGCACATAACTTTGTAATATCTGTTTTTATAGTAATATGAAATAAGAATCAGCATGAGAACTATAAAATACACATGGTATCATCGGTACTAAACCTCCTATTTAAAACAAAATATTCTTTAACAGAAAAAAATTATTTGCAAAGAAAGGAAGATTTCTAAAACCCATTAGAGAGTGATTTTAAGAGCCATAACTAGAAGGACAAAAGAAATTTCAGAAATTTGACTACAGGTATTTCTGAACCTCCTCTAAAGACCACATAAATGAGCTGTGGATCTCTTTACACACCTTCTCCTCTTGCAGTTCAGTAGGTGAAACGAGTCTCAGTGGCTCAGGCTCTTGTTAAAACCATGGTCTGGCAAGGCCTGGTGGAGAGCACAGGCAATGTACGCCTGCTTTGTAAATGACTGTACTGGGGTTAGCCCAGTTATTTTCTCAACACATCACCAAATCAGGGGAAGGTGTGCATGCCTAAAGAATATAGGGCTGTGTGCTGTTCCAACACAAACACTGGCAAGAATTTCAATATGTGAACATAGCCAGGAATGAGGGAGCAATTTTATTTAGATGCACTAATTTTTTAACTTTACATTTACATCATTTAACTCTAAATATTCCCTTATGAAATAGCAAGTATTATATTTAATGTTAAAGATGCCTGTAGGTCATATGTTATCTCTTCAGTGCCTTACGTTGTTTCCTAGTAAAGCTGTAATTATGTTAGTATATTTCAAGTATTACGATGTATCTAAGTAAAATATCATCGAACAAAGTGCTACCAATGAAACAGAATTGAGAAATACAAGTGGACTGAGTTTTGCTAAAGGTTATTACTGCAAAACTATTGGGTTTTGGTAGTTCTTTTTACTAAGATATGTGATATTTTGCCCCTGGACTTAACTGAAATTATTAGAGGTGATTCAAAACTGGTTCTTCACTGAAACAAGTGAACAGCACTTGTAAAAGGATGTTTCAGAGATGAAAGAAACAGGCAAAAAGCCTGAAAAGGAAATGGAATTTGCAGGGAAATATTTCAATTTCTAGGGAAGACTTAAAGTTGCAGATTTTCTGCGTTTGCTGGATTAGCATTAATTTTCACTTACGCTCTTCCTAGACTACTTACACCAGAGCACCAGCACAGAGCAGGCTGAATTGCCAAGCCACAATAAAGTCGAGAGTTCTGCTCCCCAGCCGCAGGAGCCACTCAGTTGCTCTGCCGGTCCTGCCGAATTCCCAAGGAAGATTTCGGTGGGATTCATTGTAGACCACCGCGGGCCGTGCTGTAGGAGAGCGGCAGGAGGTTGGCATTGTCCCCGCCGACACGGTCAGCGGGACATGGCCCCTCTCCGGGGCAGCGCTCCCGGGCTGGGCTGCCCAGGGGGCTACGCCGTGCGGTCGCAGGTGAGGCGTAGTCACGGCCACCTCCGCTGTGCTGAGGTGCTGCGGGCCCGGCCGCCACCGCCGTGCTGGGCAGGGGCGGCCGGGAGCCGGTGGGGGCGGCGCGGAGGGGGCACCGAGCGCCCCAGGGGAGCGGAGCCCGCCGCCCTCCCACCTCCCGCCCCTTCCCGCCGGCCGGGAACAGCCGCGCCAGCTGACGCACCGCAAACTTTCCTGCTCCCGCTCCGAGCTGCGCCTCGCCTCCGGCGCGGCGGGCGGCACCGGCTGCCGGTGACCCCTCGGCGCCGGGGCACGCAGGGAGCGGCCCCGCCGCGCTGCCCGCCCGCCCGGGGGACGCGGAGCTCCGAGGGGACACCCGAACCGCGGTCCCGTGCGGCGGCGGCTGCCCCGGGGGAGCAGCGCCTCGGCCGCGGGACAACATGAGCCAGGCGCAGCCCTACGGCCCGCGGAAGAGCAGCTCCCCGGCGCCCGGGACCCGGCGGAACGACAGCCAGGACTACCTGCTGCTGGATGCGGAGCCCTGCGAGGAGAGCGCCCTGCCGCCCTACGCCTTCTACCCCGTGTGAGTCCCGCCGGCCGGAGCCGGGGATCCCTCTCTCTCTCCCTGCGCTGGCGCGGAGCTCTGCGCTGCCTCCCGCGGGAAGGGGGGAGGCGGCGGCGGGACAGGTGGTGGCCGGCGGGGGGCACGGCGTGGGGCTGGGGCTGAGCCCGCGTCAGGGACCTGTCCTCTCCCGAGGACGAGTGGGGTATTTGTGTTTGGGAAAGGCGGAGGAGCAGCGTTGGCACCGCCGTGCCCAGCTGGCACCAGTGTCCTCTGCGCAGCCCGTGGTGCCTGCCCCGCTGTAAGGGACGCGAAGGGTGGCTTGTGTTCAGCTGTGGAGAGTGGGGCGAGAGACGTCGGTTGTAGATAAACCCAGTAGATACCGTCAGTTTTAATATAATTACAGAAATTTTACCTCCTGCAATCGGTTGCTTTCACTGACAGAGCACACATGGCAAGCGTATGCATAAACCCGTCCTCCTTTCATTACTACATTTCCTCAAAGTCATGTAGCCTCACATAATTTCATTATGTGAGTTTTGGCGGGTGAGTTTTGGCAAGTAGGTATCATTTAAAGCAGGGTATAAGGACATATGCAATAAAGCTAAATTACATGAGCATAAATTTCAAAGGTTCCATGAACTGCAATTTTTTAACATCCAGGTCGCTTGATGTTCAGTGTTGACAGTGTCCTTCTGGTTATGTGTGATCAGCATGACTTCTGTAATTACCACTTGTTAATGCTTCTGAGGAGAAGCTATCCCACAGAGGGGGAAAATGGGTATTAAGCAGTGTAAGATGAGTCCTAAAATCTCAGATGATTACCAGAAGATGTGTACTTTCCTTTCTACAAATTGTATTTTGTTGCTTAACTGGTAAATTTCTATTATCAGTCTTTCCTAATATTTGCTGCTTTATCTTTGAGCAACTTACCAGCCACTTGCCAGCTGCCTGGGTACAGACAAGGAATAAAAGCAATGAAACTGGGAACACTCACAGTGTTTGAATATTTATAAACTCAGCTAAGAACAACTAGAGTTTTCAGAATTCACTGCTGTTATTGCTATTCCTAAGTATCTTTGTGCATCACTAATACACTATGCTCATGTAGCTATAACAGTATACATTATGGCACATTGGACTTAAACCTCATCTCAAAATATATTTGAACACACCTGTTTTATGAATCCTTTCAGAACAAAAAACCTTATGATGGTTAGTTCAGAGATTGGTTCTCACCAGTAGACTTCAGCTTTGAACTGATATGGCAATTCTGAAGTTCCTTTACCATTTGCTCATTCAGAATGGTTGTGCAGCTCTGAAAGGATAGATCTGGCATACACGTTTCAAAGCTTCTCTTCAAAAAAAAATCCACAAGTCTGTGGGGTGCTACTGTCTTAACTTCAGGAGTATAAGGTCTTGGTCCAGCACACTCCCAGTGTGGAGCTTGCCTCATCATCTCACAGTGGCCAAAAGGAAAGCCTACATCCTAATCAAGTTGCTCTGTGGAACAAGGCTAGCACTAAACACAGGAATTTATCTCCAGTTATGTCATATCAGGGCCCTAGATGACTGCTTCTGTTGTACAGGTAAGTCCAGTACCCTGGAGTCCCTCACTGATAGAAGATGTTTCCATCAGTCTTTGAGAGAATAGACAGAAGCTACCTGATATGCATAGGTGGTGTTAATTCGAGAAATGTGCCCCTTCTCAAATTTATATAATCGCTACTTAAAAAGGGTGCTTTAGTAGGCAGTGCTTTTTTTTGCATGCACATTAGGTGTGCGGAAGCTGTCCTTTGGGGTTTCTCTGGATATGGAAAAGAGCCACTTCACATACATCCATAGACAATGTGTACATGTGGCAGCTGCCAGGACTTCCTTGGCTGGCAGGGATGAATGCAGTGAGTAAATAGGCTCCTCCAGGATACAGTGATTACCAAGCACAGTTTTTGAATTTTCCTGCCTAAATTCCACCCACATCACATTTGAGGTACATTTTGCAGATCTGTCTTTTCAGCCAGAAGGCATTAGTTTTGTTAGTGGCCTTCATAAGGCCAAACATATAATCAGATGGGCAATGTTTAGGATATAATTTTTTTTTACTCTTTATCATTTACATTCAGTAATAACACTTTTATCTACTTTTTTTTTTAAATCCTCAAATTACTAGTATTTCCTGATACTATTATGGTGATTAATGCAGAACAGTAATGCAGAGTACAGCTGATGTCCAAAAAAAGCTGAGTTGTAGCTCCTTTTAAACATTGCTGAGAGGGTAACATGCTTACTGGTGTAATATGGCATGTGACTATTGCTTGAAAAGTAGTTTGATACTAAGGAATAGTTTTTCTCAAGTGGTGATTTAGTGCTAATGCTGTCTGGGTGTGTTGTTTGTAGAATATATTTTTCATATGTTGTTTTGTGACTGCTGTTAAGTGATATACTGGCTGGATAATAATAAACACCCAAACCATTTATAGAGAACCATTTCCGGTGGTGCTAGCTCCTCTTTCTGGAGAATAGTTCTATTGTGTCTGAGGTAGCTGCTACCTTTGTTGTAAACAAGACTTCAAGATGGTACCTTGAGCTCGTCAGCTGTGCCAAGTAGGGTCACACTGTCCTGTAGCAGTGGATAGAAGGTTTTTATCTTTATTTGTGGTATGGTGCAAAACAAAATTCTAATGGAATTTTGTGCCGAAAAATCTTGCTTTTCTTTTGAATTCAGAACCTTTGATAAGAAAACCAAAATTTGGACAATCTGCAGAATTCTTTTTAAGAATTTAATAATTATGTATTATAAATTATATGCAAGTAAATACTTTCTTTCTAATGGTCCTCTTCCATCTTGACATCGTCTTGCCACTTATGTGTCAAAAAACATATTGCAACATACATGTCAGAAGATTGACTCCTGAAATACAAAAATGTGGATATGTTGGTTTTTTCCCTCTTGTGCAAGTATTTCATTGGCAAAGAGCCCCATTTTAAGTTTTAAAATAGGATGGAAAGTGCACTTTAAGGTCTAACCCCAAATCCTAGTGCTGATGTGCAATGGGATTTGAAAGTGACAACACTTGCATGTAAACTTCCCTTCCGAACAAATGTTCAGAAGAACAGATTGCCAGTGTATTAAGCTAGTCAGAAGACACTAATTCAGTCAGACATCTGCTTATATTGCTTATTTTTACTTTAAAGTATTTTGTATTGTGAAAAATAAATGTTTTCTTATACATGTGAGGAGGGATAATTGTGTATTAAAATGTCAGTTGTAAAGTAAATGAGGCACACAAATTATCAGATGAAAACAGGGGAAGAAAGGTTCTGTTGTGCATAACTGTCTTGAGGCATAGATTATTCCTCAGCATTTGTGGTTTTCTAATCAAGTGTTTCTTGGCATTATTAAACCTAGTACATTTAAGACCCATTCTTTGTTAAATAATATATTTTATGATTTCTTTTCTGCCTGCAAGATAACAGTGTTTGCTATTGACAGCATAATTTTTATCTCCAGTCTCAACTGTCTTGCTTGAAATGACCTGTAAAATTATCTTCCAGAATCTTCATTAGACATAATCTCTTCAGGGAGTACTGTACAATGTGGCAGCTGTGTTTCAGATTGCCAGTCTCTTTGCTGAGATGGTATGTCTTCTGAAAATATGCTGTGCTAGTTTTGTTGAGATCAAAAAAGTAAAAAAGTTGATATGGAGGGGAGTCATTTCCTTTTATAGCCTAGTGTATGGAACACTTTCCTATGATTTAGGATGATTTAGGATGGATCTACTTCGTACTGGGCACTGGAAAAAAAATATCATGTCTGAATCTCTCATGTTCTGGGTGACTGAATGTAGTCCCTGAGGTCTTGAGTAAAAGAACAAGACCATTATTTCGAAGCCCCAGAAAATGCAGCCTTTAGTTTGCTTTGCATATCCTGCCAGTATTAAGAAGAGAATGCTTCATTTTCAACATTAAGCATATCTTTATTTCAGTTAGGCTTTTTTCCCCACATATGTTAATTTCTGGTGAAGGCTTGTGGGATTTCTTGGGTTTGATTGTTAGGTACTTTTGTGTTCACTATGTACACTTACTAATTTAACAGTGAACCTCTGGTCAGCTACAATATGTGAACAGTTTCCTATGCTAATACTTCATAATCAATTTTACTTGAGCCGTTGCAATATATCTGTAAGTTTATTTATACCCTAGCTCTTACGTAGTTACCAAACAAATGAAAGTCACCTCCCTGTGGGACCTAATTTTATAAAACTGGAAGATTTCCATGAAAATATAAGTAATTTTTTAAGTTTACATGAGGAAGGTGGGGTAGTGATTAAGAAATGTGTGGGATGTATATGGGATACTTTTCACTGTAAATGTTAATAACAAGCATGCTCTTTGTCAAACACTCTCCCAGCAGTATTTACCACCACAGAAGCTGAAGGTTGTAATAACTGACTACTTGAAGAATTCCTGCCAACTATTGGTATCCCCAAATAAAGGCAACTTGCATGGTGGGTCTGCGTCATCAAGCTGTGTTAGACTTTCCAGCTTTGCAAACATGAACAAAAGAAAATTTTGGCAGTTAAACTGTGTTCATCAAATTCTTTATAACTTGGTTTCATACTTCAAGCTGTGATGCAGTCCAGGCAATGAGATAGCAAAAAGCTTCAAATTTAAAGTGCATGCAATGAGTCTTACATACATGTTTGTGCACATACTAGTGAGTGTAGCCACTCGCACACAGGGTCTGCTCAATGGAAGGCTTAAAGGATTTGCGTTGATAAGCAGTATTTAAATGTAAGTTTTGTTAATTAAATGTTGGCAAAAAGCTTAATGGTAATTAAATGACATGCAGTTTTCTACTGAATGGATTAACATTTCTGTCTTGCAGTAGCATGGTTATTATTTGTTTAGCACTGGCAAATACACAAGCAAGTATACTATTTTTAGTGAATAAGTTGTGGAGAATAATGTGAAGATGACTGAATGAAATCTGGGTTTATTTTTTATATCCGTTTCTATAG